TAAGCTCATACCGTCAGTCACAATGACTTGTGACCTTGTACTAGTGAAACCATCAATGGATATTCCATCTACCCAATTTCTGTCATAAGGCTTGGGTTAATCTGTGATTTGGTTTTCAAGAACTCCTTAGAGTGATAACATTAAGAAGTCACCTTCCTGAAAATCAGTCATGATGAGATTATAACCCGAGTCTCAAGTGAACGCTCTAACCGCTTGGCTACATGCACATACTTAACATTTGTGTTAATGTGTACACACCCAAGCATTCTCCAATAAACAGCCTTGTGCTTCTATATGAACAAGTTTTAGGTGAAAAGGTAAATACAAAAATGATTATATGATGTGTTATTATCTATCTTGCTATTTTTATGATGTAGCATAAAATCATTTGTTTTGGCACCGCCTTTTTACTGCTAATTAAAGACACTGTTGTCAATTTTGAATGCCAATTTCATGAACTTAGTTTATCTTTACTAAAATTTGAATAAATCTACATTAAATTTCCTGAAAATTTAATACAGTTTTTGAGATTTTTGTGCTCTTGTGCAAATAAAAGGTCTTCTATAAGTTTTGTTTTTCTTTTACAACCTCTATATAAACATTTTGGTTCATCCAGTTCATTTAAGTCAGACAGGCTATTTCATTTTCTTACATCTCTGGATTGCATGTATGTTAATCCTGTAGAGACCCCCCCACCCCAGTTCCTGTTGTGTTCTGGCTTTAAACCAGAACAACTCCAAAATTATGTAAATGAGTTAAGCTCAAAAGTTCTGCGCCAAACTAATTAATCCTTAGAAATGAAATCATCAAGACAACAAAAAAATAACTTGTACAAATCTCTCAGTTTCAGTCAAAAATACCAATTCCACCAAAAAGAGAAAAAATAATAATAATAATAAAAAATATAAGAAGTCCAACTTACTAAATATCCAGAGAGTGGAATAATCATCATAAATAAAAGTGGGTTGACGCAAGACATAAAACAAAAAAATAAATCAGGACACTGTCCAAAAAAAAAAGAAAAAAATACAGAGTAACCCGGATATAAGAGACCCGGATATAAGAGAGATTTTCTCTGGTCCCAAATTAGAGCCTGTTAATGTATATAAAATAGACCAAACCTGGATATAAGAGAGATTTTCTCTGGTCCCAAATTAGAGCCTGTGTTAATGTATATAAAATAGACCAAACCCGGATATAAGAGAAACTCGGATATAAGAGAGATTTTCTCTGGTCCCAAATTAGAGCCTGTGTTAATGTATATAAAATAGACCAAACCCGGATATAAGAGAAACCCGGATATAAGAGAGATTTTCTCTGGTCCCAAATTAGAGCCTGTTAATGTATATAAAATAGACCAAACCCGGATATAAGAGAAACCCGGATATAAGAGATTTTCTCTGGTCCCAAATTAGAGCCTGTGTTAATGTATATAAAATAGACCAAACCCGGATATAAGAGAAACCCGGATATAAGAGAGATTTTCTCTGGTCCCAAATTAGAGCCTGTGTTAATGTATATAAAATAGACCAAACCCGGATATAAGAGAAACCCGGATATAAGAGGCTTCTTCTCCGGTCCTGACAACTCTCTTATATCCGAGTTACACTGTAACTCCAACTCGCAATAGATAGGAGGAACTATAGGCATTGAAAATCCTTACCTTCAGACAACCATTTACTGCTAAATAACAAGAATTTTACAAAAATTCATCCAGGTATGCTTTAAATAGGGTAGGCTGAACTCTATCCAACCTCAGGTGGTTGCCAGTCTAGATATAATGAATTAATCAAAAAAAAAAATCCACCATAAATGAACTGCCACAAGTAGTGTCTACATTTTTTTTCTTTTTGTTGTGTCGGAAACCTACCTAAGTTATATTTTCAGCATATTATTATAATCTGCCTTCAGTACCAATATTCTTGATGAGGCTAAAAGTTTAGAAATCTAGACTTTTCAAAACTCAAATTTAAAAAAAAAATATTACAGGCTTGTGTGTATATGATACATTGGAAACACATCCTCCATTTTAAAGCAAGGCATTAAAATATGTAGTTTTCTTTTAGTTTATATCCTGTTCTTTTGACTTGTGTAGCAGGTCTGTTTAGAAAATTATAAGCACAGTTCCTCAAGTTGACAAATTTTGTAGTGTGAAGAGAAAGTCTGTTGCAAGAAAACCATAATTTCTGTCTTCAAGAAATCAGGCATGCACAAATGTTACAAAAAATTACGAATTCAAGGTTATATATATAATATATATATATATATATATATATATATATATATATATATATATATATATATATATATATATATACACTCCCTGATGTGTGGATGTAGTGATTCCTGGAGAGTCTGTCTACAAAACTCTGATGTTGGTATGCTGAAGATATATATATTTGAATCCTCTAATGTCCTTTTTCACTGGGTTGAAAACATGCCTTACCCTATTTAAAATATACCACTTAGTTCTTAATTTTCTTGTTATATATTGTTTTGAGTAGTGGCTGTATGCCTGAATGGTTAGAACAGGGGTGTCCAAACTTTCTTCAAAGTGGGCCAGATCTGATGAAGTGAATATGCATGCATTGAACCATCAAAATTAAATGCAAATGAACTATTTTATGAAAATTTGATTGCAAATGGCATATTTTCATTTCTTCGCATGGATGACAAATAAATTTAAACAGGTCTTACCAAAATCACTCAGCCTGTCATATCTGAAGCCCATATAAGATGAAGTAAAATATGTCTGAGAAAAAAAAATTTCCAGGTAGTTATATCTCCGATTAATCTTAAACATTACATATTATTGATAATTAATGTTGTCTGTCAACTTTTAAGTTAAAAACATATGAATAGGAACATAACACCAACATTCATCTTATTAAGAAGTAGAAAATGAAGTGACACAAGTTCAAATATATTTATAACTGATTTTGATTAACACAAATTTAATTCACTAAGATTTTAGAAGTTATTCATCTGAGATGACCAAAACGAATAAAACTTGCCTTCCCTCATGTGAAGAGTGATACTGAGATCTGGACTTCTGTATGTAGGCCAGGTCAGGTTCAAAGGTAGTGATTTTAGAAACTGGGGTATCTAAAACAGGGTTAACTCTTTAACTTCAAAATTCTTTAAAACTGCTTGTTCAAAGAACTAAGATATCTGTTTGTAAATGAATGATCTATCACGATGTACACACACATGAGATATATATTTGGCCTGACGATTGCATCTATCATGAAACAGACTGTTGCCTCTAAGTGTTGACTTCTACATTCACTTATATATATATATATATACATACATACACATGCACACACACATTATAGATAGAGTATATCTATAAAATGAAAATGCATCCCAGATTTTTTTTCCAATATCTCCATTTCTGAAAGAATTACGACTTTCCCAAACCAAGATATATGACTACAAATATGTTAAACAAATTGAAGGAAAATAGTTAAATTTCTTAACCTCATGTTTTTCAAAATATAACACATAAATTAATCCCAAACTAAAATAATTTAAATACTAATTTGCATAAAAAAAAAAATTTCAAAAACATCACTTAATCATTTTTGGTTATTAGATATTGAATTGTGTTGCCATATTCTCCATAGCTTGCTTGACTTTTCAGCTAATCTGATGAATAATATATATATATATATATATATATATATATATATATCATTTAAACAAGAAAACATTAATGAGGAGACAGGACAATACAAGTACAGGACTCAGAAAGACAGATGGTGATTGATGTTGAATTTAATTTTTGAAGATTGTAATTGGAATGATTCTGGAAAAGAGTTCCATAAGTGAGACTGGCAAGAGAGGAAACAATTAACATTGAACTTACATCTAGTTAGAGAGTTGGCCAAAGTTTATTTGCTTTCTTAAATAGAAAATTTACTTAACAAAAAAAAAAAAACAACCTTTTTAGCCAACCCCATATTTCAACAGTAAAATAATGAGACCTAGTTATCAATCTAGTACTATGCTTAAATTCACGCCATTGCAATACCAAAGAGGAAATCTTATAAGAACAATTGTCATGTAAATATTTATAGAAAAGATCCAATGAAGTCGTGTTACAGCAGTGGGAATGTGACTGAAAATGTGATGCAAAGTCAAGACAGATAACATTGCAGATTCTTTGGATTTTGTCAAGAATCTTGAGATGTATAGTAGGAGCACCAGACCACATGTGGCAACAATATTCAGTGCTTGGATAAAAAAAATATATTTGTAAAAGAGCCAATGTAATGGCTTCCTAGTGAATATAAAATGGAAAAATTCACTCACATACCTACTAAAATACAGAATGAGCAAGATGCGCCTTCTGTTTGCACAGAGACGGTTATGTAATTTAATAAAAACCACTTCTAATATGTGTAAATGCTGAGTGGACTGAGCTATGCACAGGACAGTAAATGAATCATCACCATATCTTGCCATACACTCCAGATTGTTTAACAAATATAAATATATATAGAAAATGAAAATTTAGGTTTTCAGTTGTCATAGAGAACTTCTGCAGTTGTGTGTAGAAGATTTTAAATTTGAAAATTTAGTGTTTATAAAATATATATTCTGTAATAATTAATAAGAATCATTCTTGCCTAGGTCCTGAGGAATGAGGAAGTGTAAAATTCAGAGTTGACACGATTAGTATCGTGAACTTTCATTATTTTTGATACAATAAAACTGTAAAGATATTGACAAAAAGATAAAGAGATTCATATACATAATATACATGTCTTTCATCCCCCCCTCCCAAATACCCTGGAACATTCAATGCCCCTTGAGAATTTGTAGCACTCTCAAGTGGATGTTAACCTGCATATTGAGAAATCTCTTTTATAGGTGGTAGTATTTCGTTTGACTAAAGGATTTAAAAGTAATAGTTCAATTCTCCAAATATTATTCTAATGTTTTGTTTCTATTTTTTTCTTTACAGTTGTGAATAAATCACACAATGGACTTTGATGCAATGTTGTTTACTACTGGACAGATTCCAGCTCTGTAAGTTTATCTTTTTTATATAAAAGAAAAATATAGATTCATTGCTTCCTCTCACAGGTATTTACATTGTAATATACCGTACCCCTGAACACTAATGCTATGTCCCTATCCTCATAAATAGATTGGGCCCTATTGTAAGTGAGGGCAATATGCTGCCTAAGCTGGTAGTGTGAGAAGCTCTTGCTGTGTCGAACTCTCTGCCTTTGGGTAGAGAGGAACCTGGATGAGGTTATGCCAAAGGTCAGTCTCGTCCAGGGAGGTAGACAGATACCCGATCCCATGTATGTGGGGTCTATGGGCAATTTTTGCCCGAGCCCACAGGCTCAGATTTCTCCACATTAAATTTGGCCTTGTGCTGCATCCTATCACATCAGGAAGCAGGTAAATATCATAATATGCTCTCTAAGTAGTCCACTACTAGCAGTGGTTTACCTACTTCATGCTGCTGGCGAGTATTGTATTTTGTTGATGTCATAAAGATCACCATTTCATTTCCAACCTCTGTTTTGATTATTCCTCATTCAGTGACCTTTTCTAGGTTACAACATACATCCTGAAGTATTAACAATTTTATAAATGTATCTGTTTATCCCTTCCATCAGAAGATTTGCAGTATTTTACAGTTGCATTTATTGTACTTATAGGGATGTTGATGACCATCATGTCAAATTATGCTCAAAATAATTCAATAAATGTTATTAATTTTTCTTTCTATTAAGTATTTTTTTTTTAATTTCAATGTGTTTCTGAAGCCAAAAATGTAGTTGCTTTCTTTGAATGAAACACTCAGAAGTCGCATATATTCTCACCTGAAAAAGATTAACTTGAGCCGGGTCTCTAGCTTGTTTATATAGAAGTCAGTAGGATATGCAAATCATGGGTATCTATATAAACTGCTAGATTTGTGTACAAAGTGGCAACTCTACTGTGTATTCTTACAGCTGGGTATTTCAGTGACTGTTGGTATTGGTCATTAGTCTGTTGGTGACTTGCATGAACACTTCCACAGACAGTTTCTAGTCGGAATATGTATGACTTCTATTTCGATGAAAAATATTCCAGGAGGAAATTTGCTAATTTGATTTGATTTCCGTCAAATCTTTAAATGAGGTCCAAGTTTGATGAAACAGATTTCTTCAGGTTTCAGTATTCTTAGCAAGAAATAATTCTACTTTCATGCAGATTAATGAAAACTTTTAATTTATATCTCATTAAAAATGTATGAAGGTTCATTATCAGGAGCTGCTATTTTGAAATCAAAACTTGCTTTTGCTAAAATTACTTTTAATATGATTTTCTGAAATCACTTAATACTTAAGTTGAATTTTTATCCTTAAAAATAACAAATCCTAAAAACAAAAATTAAGTATGGTTGAAAGATTTAGTGGATGAATACCAGAAGAATTCAACTCTTAAAAAAAAAAATGGAAAATGCACCTCTTTATAGAGCAATGTCTCCTTAATAATCATTTGGTTTCATATCTCTGAACCCATACAACTATTGCAAACTAGATTCATATCATGTCGGGGTCACCACTTGTTGCAGATGCTGAGAAGGAGAAATTAGTCCAGTGTAAATATCAGGATTTTGATCAAAATGTATTCCTCCTTTGTGTGAGGAAAAACAATGCTCAAGGTTAATATTTATTTGCAGAAACAAAATGCAATAACAAAACTTAAGTGAATTTATTCATAGTGGATATGATTTCAGTGTTAAAAGAGATATAGAGAGAGTTCTTGTTTTACTTAGCTGCCTGATGGTTTATCTTCAGTGGGTTAAAATTTTCAGAGTTCATACTGATGGTGTTACAAATCATGCTTGGATTTAATCTTTTGTTGTTTTGAACATGATTAATTTGTGAGTTTTATGAAGTAGTTTGACTTAATATTCCATGTCATATTCCTATGGTGCAGTAATTCATGTGTATTCTTCAATTGTTTGTGAGATGATCTCATAAAGTTGGCAACAACATCATGCATTTGTCTGTGCCTCTGTGTTTCTCTCTATACCTTTTCATTGTCTGGCCTTGTTCATTAAATAACTATGGGTAGGCTTCCAGACAAGATTTTGGATTTAAGTGGGAAAATATTTCATTGGTCGGTATGGACCAATAAGGATGTTTAAAGATATTGGTGTTTGTTGCTATGCAGATGTCATGTAGGCATTTGTGTGCATAGATGGCTAGTGACACAACTCAAGTCACATGTGAATAAAAAAAAAGGAGTACACTGCATTCATTTTGGGCAAAACATTTGGATCTGACGCATTGAAATTTGTCTGGCTAATCGAGTGAATAAATGTCAACAACTGAACCCCATTTTAAATTGGACTTGTTTCATAAATAGATATTATAATTTAAATCTTTTTCTTATATTTTCTGTAATGATGCATTTTAAAACTGTAGAGTGTATAAAGTATTTATTCATTATATTTTGTTCAAAATGTTAAACAACATCTGGCAGCAAGGCCTCTGAGCGGGAGATTGGAGGTTTTGAGGAGTGTGGAACCACCTCTTAATTGCTGTTGTTTCCAGATCTAACCTGACCTGGAGTGGTAGCACCTGTTAGGGCCCTAGCTATGGGCAAATAGTGAACTCCCAAACACTATGAAAATATAAAAATACCAACAATATATTAAAAAAATTGTCAAAATACCTATTTCTAGTGAAATTACTAACAATACATTCTATCTTGAAGGCATACAATTGTGTTCAAAATATTTTCGACATTAAATAGCCCATAGAGGTTGATAAACAAAATCAATCAACCAAACCAAAATATAATTTCAACAAAACTACAACATAAAATATACATCACTGCTTATTGTAATTATGTTCACACAAACATATAAGCAGAATATATATATATATATATATATATATATATATATATATATATATATATATATATGAGCATCATCTTCCATGTATTCAGTTGTGAAAGCAGAATAACATATTTTATTACTTCAAAGCATCCAAGAAAATTAAAGATGTTGATATGCTGTTAAACAAACAAATCAAATTAAATTGTCCAAACTGTCACACTCCAAACATTTTCACCTCACTGATGTTTTTTTGTATTTTCTTAAAAAAAATCATTAGACAGAATTCATATAAAATAGAAAAATAAATATAGAAACTGGATATATTCTTAGTTCTTTAAACTTTACACAAACTTCATCTGTAAAAAAAAAAAAAAAAAAATTAAAATAAAATTATGGTCATTCATTTCATTTATATTTGTGGCTGGAAATATTTTCTCTAATTCTTGTGATTAAATTGAAAATTAAATTTATTTACCTTTTTCTTTTAAAAAAAAATGAAACTGGATACATTTTATAAAATAAAATTAAAATGAACTGGGTAAGATTAACTTTGATACATGGATCCATAAAAAATTGAAATATAATTACTTTCATTTTTTTTTTTTTTTTTTTTTTTTTTTTAAATGATTATTTACTAATTCTATGGATTAAGTCCTATTTTGGAGGTTAAAATAGATTGTTACTTTTTCTTTAAAATAAATAGATGCATTTTATAGTTCTTCAACTTTAGCAAATGTGTTGCCTTTTCATAAATTTTTTTTTCCTTAAGCCATCATTATAACAGCATTGTGGAAGACAATAAGCACATTTTTTTCTTTTTTTAAGTGGATATCTTTATATTTTTTTTTTTTTTTTTTTTAATGTATTAGTGCTTTCCATGCCAGAGACCTGGAATTGAATCTTCTGTTCAGTGGATTATGAACACAATGCCCTGAGAAGTAGTTTTCTTCCAAGTAGTTGGAGCAGGCTGAAGAAGACCCCAAATTCTTTGCAATGCTGATAGTTAAAAACTCTAAAGTGAATAGACATTTCACTGATATAACTTTTAATGGAATGTCATTTCCAATTTTTTTTTCTTGTTACAAAAAATGTATTGCTGGTAATTTATTTTTTTTTTTATTGCTGTAAAAGATATGTATATTAGTCTACAAACCAGCACAAATGTGGGTTTAATATGGAGTGTGGTGTGATGTGCACTTGACCAACCTCACAATTTGGGTTAGAGATTTACATAGCAAGGCAAAACATTGGCAGTAAGCTCCCAAGGTCATAGGTCATTTCTGTTGGTAAATTTTCCATTCTAGCTGAGTTGTGTGTTGAATTCTATTAACCTGTTGAAAAAGTATTTTGAAAGTATTACCTAGGCAGACTGAGGCTACAGGTCTCGGTTTACTTGCTAGAATTTCTTGATTTGTTTACTTTTATATGGGTTTTAACTTTGTATTTCTATAGCCTCTTTTTAGCTTCTCACTTGTCTTTCTTTTTTTTTTTTTCTCAATTTTGCACTGTAAAAGTATTTAGTGATGCACATTTGATATCTGTTGTTTTTCACCAGTCTCCAAAATGTTTAAAGCAACCAACTCTTTTTGTAGTATGACTGATACTGGTGCTATTAGTAATGTTACCCATCTCTTTTTTTTTTTTTTTTTTTTTTTTAAAGAGGAGGTATTGAATTTTGTTGCTTAACCTATCAGAAAGTCTTTGCGCCTAGAAAAAAATACAAATACAAAAAAAAAATTTTAAATTTTAATCTACAGTAGCGTCCAAAACTAAGGGACAAAATTTTAAAACCTAATATTTGTTAAAAATAACAACTGTGAAAAGCTGAAATTTTGACAACTGGTAGTCGTTATCATCCATAATAACATACTAAAATTTGAATCATTTGCAAAGGATAGAAAAAGAATTATAACAATTATTTATTTATTTTCAAATTTGGAACGTCCAAAAGTAAAGGGACAAAATTGAGAAAAACAATGTAAACAGTATACTATATTCAAATTTTTGATTTCCTCTAAAGAATGTCTTACTTAGTCATTTGTAAACGTTGCATCAGCCGGCACCATGGCGAAACGCCAAAACTTGATTACTCTGTGAGACAAGCTATTGTGAAGCTACACAAGGAAAAGCACACCATTAGAGATTTCAGAGAAAGTGAAACGTTCCAAGAGTGTTG